CCATCCACATCAGCAGTTTACTCAGTCAAACGATACAATACTACCAAGCTTTGAACGTAGCAACCCGCAACCGTTGCAGCCTCAACCGACCAACTCTTCAAAATATTATAGCCCAAACGCCCCATCTTCATCTCCGAGGGGTCAGAAGAGATCCATCGGGCTCGCTTCTAAACCACAGATAGACAGACCAAACTCGTTCTCACTAAACCTGGCTCCCAGTACTTCTGGTTCCACTGGGCAGAGCAGTCCTGCATACTGGCCCGGTGTCCCATCTCTTCCCTTCAACGCTGGTAGGGCCCCAAAATTCTGTTCAATTGTGGATACTTGAAACTTGCATAACTAACGCGACTGTGAAGGTCGTAATATTCCCCCATCAACAGCTACAGACGGCTTGTCACAGTACAGCCCGATATCCCCTTACCCGCCTTCCTCGGGGACCTCGCAACCACCGATTTCACAACTACAACATCATTCGCAATCACAAGACTCTCAGCAGCATCCTTCCAACCAGGTCGATCAACACCAGTCACAACACTCGTCCCAAACAATGGCACAAACATTAATGGATTCCCAGGCAAATTCTAGCCATATATCACCTCAAGCTTCCCAACAGCAGTCGCCGCTGGACCCGTATGGACACCGTTTCCGTTACCCAGGCCCACAACAATCGCCCCTTCCACAACACCCTTCTAGTTTCCAGCCTTATCCGGGTGCCTCAATGTCCATGAACCAGACTTCTGTCAGTGACAGCTCCCAGAGACTTGGAGTGCCGGTACAAGTTCCAGTCGAAGGCCAGCAACCCCTCCCCCAATACACCCGCCCATATCCTTCATACAACCTTCCAGCCATGAATGGCCCCGTGATGAGTAATGTCCATCACCCATCTAGCCAGATGGCTCTGATAGGCTCTATGCAGCCTAACATCCTTCCTACATTCAACAGTGGGCATGCTGCTAGCTTACAGCAAATGTATACGCATCAGCATCCACAAGCTCATCATATGCATGGACTTGGCCCCCCAGGCCCTCAAAATGATAGACCATTCAGATGTGACACTTGCCAGCAGAGTTTTAATCGAAATCATGACCTAAAACGACATAAGCGCATTCACCTGGCTGTTAAGCCATTCCCCTGCAACCACTGTGACAAAAGCTTTTCGAGAAAGGATGCTCTTAAGGTGTGTTTTACGTATCCTTGCCCTTTTTCTTCCTTCTTCTTGAGTTATAAACATGGTATTAATCCTTATTTTGCACAGAGACATATACTTGTCAAGGGTTGCGGCAAGGACCCCCATTCTGAAAGTGACCACTCAAGGATTATAAAATCTGAATCATCGGCACCCTTTTCGGCATCTCATTCTGCGAAGGACGACGATGGAAGCAGCGCCACACCCCCTTCTGCAACTGGATCGCGCAAGGGTAGTAATGGTGGAATATAATTTCTCACTCGATCATCTTCCGAGAGGCTATTTCGTTTGTTCCCTGCAATAAGCTAAGAGGCGGCTTAGTTCTTCATTTCACTACTATTTCATTTAACTACATGGGCGGCTGCTTTTTACCTTCATTGATTGCTCCCGTACTTGTATGACCAACCCTCTACGATCTATATCATTTTAATCACCATTCCCCTAAGTCTTCATCCCTTGGACTTTCGTTTCTCCCCTTCCTACAAGCCTGACCTCATTATCTCGAATGCCTCGTCACTTTCCACATAAGCGGTGTGATACATAAAAATTTTTTGTTTCTTTCTTGACATTCCCTTCTGCGGCCGCATTTAATTAGCAAACATAGCTTGCATTCTTTTGGTTGCCCAATTTTGGTGTTTGAGTGTCTTTTTTTTTTTTTTTTTTTGTAAAACTGTGTGGTGATACTACCCCGTTGTTCGGTGTTATCCTGTCTTTAACTACTCAGTGTCGTTATAACGGAGTTATTATTAGGATTTCCTAACATATTTAGTCATGAGTTTAGAGTCTCATGTCTTATTATACCTAGTAATAACGTCTAGATAGGTAACCATTCCTGTTTCGACGAAATATGGTTAGAAACGAAACGAAGAACCAACAATTTGGCGCAAAGACAGTTAAACATTGGAGCTACCGAGATGGTGGGATCATAACTGGAACTGCTCGAGCGTCCCAAGTCCTTGCAGCCCGCAATCCCCCATCACACAACCGGTCGAATTTCCAATCCATCGTGTATACGATGGCCCAGCAGAAGCGATTATCAGGCGGTTGAATATGGTTATATTAACCAGAGATGAACGCTCTTCGGGAGAGTTGAATTCAACACGAAACCCGATGGGTAAAGCGTCTGTAGCAAAACGGGCATTTTTATTTAGTATGGGCGTAATTATTGCCCCGGCGCACGCAGCATGGCGTATTTTTCCATTGTTGGCAATATAAGCACTAGCGTGCTCGGTATGTTGGGGAGTAAGCACATAGAACCAAACGACTGAGTATGGGCCAATGCGAGTACGGCCCCAATACCACGTTTTTGTTGTTGATGTGAATGGCACATCACTCCAGTTCTATATTCGGATGAATACATCATGGATCAGTAGGAGCAAACGAAGGTGTTGAGGGTTGGTTTGGCTGAAGTGGCTGGCTTCCACAACACGCTTACCTTATCATGATATGCAGAACCATGAAACCGGAGCCTTGACCCTGCGATTGTCATGTCAACCGATGCATTGCCATCGGGTATGGCGTTGGCCCACCCAACATGTGGGCAAACTTGCACATCCACATTCTGAGACGCGGCGCTGCACGGGTAATGTGGTGGCGCTACCTGAATATGGCTGAAGTTAATTATCAAACGTCGACACAAGTGCTAGTAAAATGCCATGGGCTGAGGATTGGGACATACGGATCTGATATCAAATGTGCCTTTGATTTCATGAATTGTATCGTTAAAGAATACACGGTATCGTGAAAGATCTGCAGAGCCCTGCCATCCCATTTGTATAGGGTGGTAAATACCTGCGTAACCATCTTTAGATGTTTCAATCACCGCTTTTTGGGCGTGGACCGCATATACCGACACAGTCCCATTGGGGAAGGATGCCCATATATAGACAGGTAGGATTCCCTTGTTAGGCAGCAGGAAAGGAAATGCAGTAGAGGAGCTTGTAAAGAAGCAAACGGTTATGGAAGAGTCTCCATCATCTGATACTGCGTCAAAATACCACCAGTCATAGACGGTCTCGTTCACAAAGTTAAGCTTTGGAGAATCAAAATCTCCCTCACCGGAGAGAAATTGAGCTTTGCTAGGTAAAAGAGAGACAGTAGAATCCAAAACTGTAATGGAGCCCTGAATATCTCTGCGATATTCCGTCGCTGTCACCAGGAAGCAAAAATTAAACAGTAAAAGGCACAATGTGAGCAGGTCCATGATGGTATGGTCGAAGAAAGAGTATACACACACCATGATGAGGGGGGAAATTTTTGTGAGGGAATCTGATGCTCAAATGAAGCCATCAAACCCAGGATAAGTAGTCTTCCTCTGGCTCCAACATCTCACACAATGGCGAGGATCAGGGTATTAACATGGTTACCTATGTTCGCATGTGGCATTGTAGCAGCTAATTCCACGATGCATATTATTCTCATATCCCACTACTACCATAGGTAAGAGTATCCAACACGAGAGAAGCGAAATACGAATGGCATCTCAACTCCTCCGGATCGATAGCCGAGCTATACGAGAATTGCGGCGTATCTAAAAGTGAAGGCAAACAAAAACACAGGGCCTAGGAGGAAAACAAATCTGATGTAAGAAGCACTTCCATCACGTATATGGACGCATGCATACTCGAATGCATGCAGCTAGCCATACTGTAGCTATCCACGAGCTGAGAATTGGGGCGTTTGCATTCATCCCCTGAATTTGGGATATCACCGTCACCGACTGCCACAACGGTGATGGCTGAATGTTGTGTACTGCAGATCGGTGGCACATATCCAGACAGCCATGCCGGCAATCTCCGTTACCCGTATCGGCTGCTGATGGAGATGCTTGTAACACACGATGTCGTAGCCCGATCTGTTGCTTTTTCAATAGTTAGGAAACGTTATATAATTTTCATCATGGTTGATGGTTGCTGCAAAAAAAGGTTCAAGGAGGTTTCGGATTTACTTCGGCCCGCACGGTTTATCCGAACCTTAACTTTATCCGAGCGCTTTATCCGAAGCTGTTTGTCTGGTTTGCACTTTATTATATAATCATTACATAACTCTGATGTAATTGGCTGGAGCTTCCTCCGTACCTCGGCACAAACGGAAAAAATGAAAATTTTGAATCCTCGCTTAGCGTTAGCGCGGTTTGAAAAAGCTATAAAAGGCTCCTCGCCCCTTCAACCCTTTTCTAAAAACCAGTCGACTTTACTTCAAAGAATGTGAGTACACATTTTGCTTTCCACCACACGATGTCACCCTCTGGCTTGACACGTTGATGTTCATGATGATGATAACTAACTGTTCTCTTTCCAACAGCATTTCTATAGTAAACGACCCTACTCTGTAGTTTTTACGAAAGCGACAAGAGTCCCAACCTTGCTGATGACCCTAATGTCCTCGATGCCCTAAAGTGAAGCCTTTTTTACTCTCGCCTATACTTCGACAGTGATGATGATACTTGACAATGCTTCGGTGTTTGATTGAATCTCATCCTGTTGATTTAGAGAGTGGTGATGATCTTTACCTCGTCGTGGCGTCTGACTTCGGTCGGCCTGGCAAGGTGGGTGTCGAGGAGGTCTGAAAGGTTCTATTCACCCTTGAGTTGTTAGAGTGGGATGTCTGTTGTTTAGTTTATAACTGCTTAGTAGAATTTAATGGGAAATTTGTTCAAAAAAAATTTTTTTTTTTTTCGCTCTTAGTAGAAGATGTAGGCTTATCGTTTCGAATTTTGTGTGTAATTGCTGGAGACTTGCATCTCCATTTTATGCGAATTCGTAATCATGGGAGAAGAACTATGCTACTGCTCGAGAACCAGCTATGAAAGAAACTATTTACCACGTCCTCCAGCGCCTCCACGGCCATATCCCCTACGAGTGCCTCTACCACGAGGACCCGGAGTCCCACGAGAAGCAGGAGATGTTGTAGGTGGAGGTGCAGCTGCAGCTGTAGGTGAAGATCCGGCCTGTGCTGGTCTCGACCCTTGCTGTGATGGCTGTTGTTGGGTGTTCGCGTGAGCCGGACCCTGCCCGCCTCCTCCTCCACTACCACCGCCGGCGCCGGCGCCACGGTTGCCATGACCTCTGTTCTGTGCTACAGCGGCAGATGTCCTCCGTTCCAGCACTACTACTTGGCTTTGGGCGATAGACACGGGGCTTGCATCAATAGCTTTCCGAAGGCTTGCCGGCTCGGCAAAATCGACGTATCCGAAGCCTTTCTTCTTGTCAATTTCTACACGTATGACTTTGCCAAACTGTGAGAATCCTTTCTGGAGGAGATCTTCCGTTACTCCTTGGGAAGGATTGGCGTGTTTGAGGAATGCCTGCGTTCCATTTGATGATGGTGATTGAGAGGACTGTTGTTGGTTCTTTTGGGCCGCAGGATTTGATGATGCTTTCGTATTTGGAGTACTTGGAGTAGTTGCCGCCTTCTTGCCAGCTGCATTATTTCGAGCTGCTGGCTCTGCAGGTGGGGTACCTTTAGATTGTTTGCTCGGTGCAGACTTGGGCGTAGAATCGGCGGCGTTCTTCCCCTTGGGGGAAGGAGCAGGATTATTAGATTCTGATTTTGAGTTTGATGGTTGTTGGTCCTTCTTTGCACTGTCTGCTGTAGCGTTACCGCCCGAGCCAGAAGAAGAAGCCTGACCAGCCTTATCCCTTCTTCGTGTAGGTGTAGTAAGGCCCAAATCACGTCGTAATATTTTGGTAGCTGCAGTGAGGCTTCCCCTTTCTCTCTTCCGTTCTGGTGCTGGAGATGCTTGGGGTGGTTGATTGACAGAGCTTGCGAGAGCTTTGTTTTCAGCTTTGGTAGATCCGTTTGCAGCCTGTTTATTCGCGGCCTTTACGGCATCCTTAACAGCAACATCCTTGGCTGCCTTGTCCTTTTTCTGCTTCTCCGAAGTTGACTTGTCTGCACGGCTGAGGAGCTGTTTCTTCCCGATCGACTTTTCACTTTTGCTCTCTTTGGCAGCAGCTGAGCGGGCCTGCTTGGCTGCTTTTGCAGCAGCGACCTCCTTTGCCTTGTTTGCCTTTTTCTCTCTTAGATATTGGATGAGTGGGGTGATCGTTGGTTTTTCCACTTTATCTGCTGCCTCGGTCGTCTCTTCCTCAGACGGCTTGGTGACTGGGTTGGTCAAACTCTCGAGGAAGGCTATGAATTCCGCATCCTGGTCGATAGTGCCTACACGAGCATCGTTTCGAACTTTTCCACTAGGCACGCGGGAAAATGGGGCATATTCCAGGGTCGGCGGTCCAAGTAGGGCGGAATCATTGTAGGTATTTCGAGCATCGTGAAATGTGGTTTGGCGGATCACATCCGAGAGTTCGGGGATAGTCACTGACGAGGTAACTCGTAGATACGCCCTTCCGGGACGTGATGGTTTCGATGGGCTAAAAAGTTCAAGAAAGACGCCGCTGTTAGATATAGATAAAGGCGTTGGTCAACACGGAACACTGACTCGGTAGAAACCTTCCCCTCCTTGAAGAGAAACCAGTCAACTTTCCCTCGTCCAACTTTCCAGAAGTCTCCCAGCGTTGTCTCGAACTCAGCCTGTGTCAGGCCGGGGGGCAGACGTCTCACATGCAGCTTTAGGCGGGGGGCATTTCCTTTGCTGGAGTGGCCCTTGGGTGTGGGCGGAGGAGCAGCTTTCTGCGTCGCCGCCGGGTTGATAGCAAGGACCCCCGGAGACGCCTTCTGCTGATTCTTTTGCGACATGGTGTTCGGCGGCAGGTCTATAAGGAGCACTGCTATGCCCGGTTTCTCCTCCAGCCCCGTCTCTGCACGATGTCTCTGATGGATGGTGAATGCGTGTGCTCTGTAGCTGTCGGTGAGTTGAGGCCGGGCACAGTTTTGATCACGTGATACTCCTTCTGCGCCCGCGTCGCTTAAGGTTCCAGCCGCCAGCCAGCTTACGCCCAATACGGACGTCAATGACGATAGTTAAACGCTCTGTGCCGCCGCTATGTCGACGTCGTCTATGTCAACTACATCATACATGGCAGATGGGAGCTGGCGGCGGCACCGTCGAGTCGACCAAGCGAGATCATGCTGCAACATGGTGCTCTGAAGGGCGTGCGTTAACTAACTAGCCGGCTAGTTAGCCCACTTCTTCTGCCTCAGTGAGGTCCAGCCAGGGTTGCCGAGCTGCATCTTTATCTAGCTACCAGCGAGCCGTCTGTCCTGCCTCGACCACGGCGCCCTTTGTGCGACCAGGTCGGCTTCCGGAGCGCCTTTTCTAGCTCAATGGGCGTTGAAGATGCAGCCGAGCATGTTTGAGCATGTTTTCGCACGTTTGGTTTTTCCCTTCTCTAACTAACTCGCTAGCTATCGGTGCGGTGGAGTTGGCGCAGGCGGTTGTTTGTCCTGTTTTTTTATTCGATGGTCACGCCAATAATGATCAATCCATAAGAGAAAAAGGCTATAATATATAAGTATAGCCGGCCAGCCACCAACGTACATATTGTATATAACTTCTCCTGACGGCCGGATTCTCTTTTTCCTTTCATTTACCTATTTACCTACCGGTTGCTCGCAGTCGAAACACACGCACACATACAAGTAACCCGCCAAAGTACAAAGCCTGCGAAGATGGACATGACCATGACCATGACCAGCAACATGCCCATGCCGACCGGCGCCCATGACATGCATCATGGAGGGCATTCCATGCCTGCAATGGATCATGGAGCGCACGGCATGAACCATGGGAGTCACGGTGGTATGGGCCAGTGCAAGATATCTGTAAGTCCATCCTCATCCCGCGCGTCTATCAAACCACTAGCTTCCCCTGCTCATATAAACATTTTAGATGCTTTGGAATTGGAACGTCATCGACGCATGTGAGCACCCTTTTCTCTGTTAACAGATCCTGGTTTATCACGAGCAACCTTCTTACGATGTGACGGGATAGGCTTCATCTCATCGACATGGCGAATTACGTCCAGGGGGATGTTTGCCGGCTCATGTATCGGCGTGATCCTCCTTGTCATGTCTCTCGAGTTCCTCCGTCGTCTAGGACGCGAGTTTGATAAACACATTGCGGGCCAACCATCTCTGTTTAACAAACTCGGCTTCGGAACTTCCGCCATGGCTGCTGCAAACTCGCATCCAGTAGGCAGTGAATTCACCGATGATCCTACCAGCTCCAAGCCGACGGATGCCAATGGATCACCTAAGCTCGTGGGAGGACGACGTTCGCCAACGCTCTTGCAGCACACGCTTCGATCCCTGTTGCATATGGTAACTTTCGGAGTAGCATATTTTGTGATGTTGCTGGCCATGTACTACAATGGGTTTTTCATCATCTGCATTCTCATTGGAGCATTCCTGGGCCACTTTGTGTTCTCTTGGAAGAGTAAAGATAAAAGGTGAGTTCTTGATCGATCCCCATTATTTAACCTTTTCTTCCCCCCCTAAAAATAGTCAAAATATCTTGCCCTGTCGCCCGCGCATGGTCTGGCTAACGAGATTCCTTTCAAGCGACGCATGTGAGATCACCGTTTGCTGTGGTTGAGGGGAATCGGATTGCAAAGCGAAATTAAAAATTGCCCTCCAACCCATGTTCGCTGTTCGCTACATACCCACTGTTTATGATGTTCATGGGATAAGAAAAAAAAAAAATTAAAAAAGAGAGAGATGCTCGCGATACCCGTCCCTGCCATGCATCTTGGCCTGGCCACCACGGTTTTAAGAACCAAGTTATGTATGGAGGACTTTTTTACTCGAGAAGATATGAGATATTAATGTAGACTTAAGACAGAAGAAATTCTCCATTCGGATATGACCACGATTAATAATATATTCTTTTATGCAAAAACAATCTACCTAAGGACATGTCTATAAAAAAGCCTTTTAGTACACGCGAGCATGTACTCCATGTATATCAACCATGTTAAAAAAAAGTAACTCCAAATAGCCTCAAGTATCCATAAAGTAATAATATGACAGTAATAATATCAACAAGAATAGAACAGTTCCACCTGGGCATCGACTTTCTAAGAAATGCGCACATTCCTCCATTACATCGTTCGTTACCGATCGTCACAACCAAAAAATGCATATATGTTCAAGTTAGAGCCATCCGTCTTCGCGCATTGAGCTACCTCTTTTGTTTGAAGCGAGGCGACGATGGCCTTACCCACCCCATCCACTCCTTCCCCTCGAATACCTTGCCTATTCGCTTGCACTGGCTCGGAAGCTCACGCGAGCTTTTGTGCGCGGTCATTGGTCTTGGGACAACGGGAATCCCGGCAAGTTGTTTCAGGATAACGTCATCTTCAGGCCGAGAAAAGTAGACAAGGGAGTACCGAGGGTTGCTGGTTTGCATGCCGGGCACAGCACATACGCGATGTACGTTTGCGCGGACGCCGCCTTCCGTAAGTTTGGCGAGCTGTTCACCCATTAGGATAATGCAGTGGCCAGGTAGAGGGTTGGCGGGTATCCAGTTAGCAGGGAGGTTGGGACCCCCCGAGAAGTCCATTGTGGGTTCCGGAGATGGTGTGGGATTAGTGGTGGGAGGCGTGCTGGTAGGAGTCGTAGTAGTAGTAATTATTGGATTTTCCCTGGGTATGGGGAGGTTGTGGAGTGAAGAGTCTGGCTGGGGCGAACGGAACTGCAGTCCACCCGATTGGTTGAATATCAGTGTGACGCTGTTTGAATCAGAATGTTCATCCAGCAAGACATCGTTCTCTGGCGGCGGGCGTGCTTCTTTGCTTGCCTGCAGCTTGATCCACCGTATTTGATCACCGCTGTTTGCGTCGCGACGGTGGATGTTTTTCAAGGATTCGGGCGGTAGGTCCAAGGCCGAGGCCAGGCGAGAGAGGATTAGGGATATTATAGCGTGGGAGTTTCGGATATAGGTTTGTATTAGAGGGAGTGATGATTGTATAGGCTGAGGTTGAGGTTGGGGGATTTTTGTCGGACATTGAATACCCAATATCTCGTCCTTTGAAACGGTGTAGAATTCTTTGAAGTCAAGTGCTCGGTTGCGGTATCCTTTATATCTGTAGGCAGCTCTGTTAGCTATACTATAATACTAGGCAGACACGATATATGTAGATCTCTTACTTACCCGTAGTATCCGCCAAACTTGACCATATCATATTCCCTCTTTTCGTCTTCTGGAAGATTGAAGACATCTCTTCCCAGGCCAAATAACCTGTCTGCATCGGACATAACATCCTCACCCAGGTCTGCTGCCGTTAGGTCTAAGTAGAAGCCACCGAGCTCCCTACATGCCAGTAGCAGGCGATCAGCTTCAGCAGCATCATTTGCAATGAGTCGAGCGAGCGATATTTTGGCTGGAGAGGAGATATGCTGGTGATTCCTATCCAGCGACTGTCTTTCTGTGCCCTCGGAGGATATAGACGAAGAGGAGTAGTTAAAATCTTTTTCGATCTCGAAGGCCTTTTGCTGATAATGGTCGAGATGGTTCTGTTTTCTTGACCGCGAGGCCTTGCGAACCCAGGTCAAAAACTGGCACTGTGAGTTAGACACCATGGCTGCAGCCGTCCACAAGCAAGAGAGACAACGAGACAAAAACGCATCATAATGCGATGGACGAAGAGGGAAGAAAAAGATCCCAAAATTCAATTCCAGAATATTATCATTGAATCCACACCGCAAAGATGACATAAAAATCAGAAGCGACTCGACCCTCGGCGCTTGTCTAAGTAGAGAAGTGGAGCGAGTTTGACATTCGGGTGTCGCAGTTCACGAGTACCTATTTTTTCCCCATCCCCTTTTTTTTTTCACCTCCCTCTTTCTTGCGGGCTGGCACTCCATATATCAGATGCATGTACATGTCCTTCCCTCCCTTTCAAGGATCGGAGGTGGATACTTGTATCACGATGCATGGAGGGAGTGGTGATAGGAAGAGAGGCCGGTTTCCTGGACTAGTTGGGTTGGTGATACTGACGTCGCAAGGCTGGGGGCTTGCATGGAGTAGAACCACGTTTTTTTTTATCTTGTCCGCCGGGGTTGCCTCTCGTCGAGTGGGCTGAACGTTTATGCGACTGGGGCTCCCTTCACTAGACGCACACTCTAGTTCAGCCACCGGCGACCAGAAGAAAATCGATGAAGAAAAATGCCCCCGCCGGCCTGTAACAAGGGCTTGCCACCCCAGCACCAGAAAACGCGAGGCCTGCCACGAGACGACGCTTATATGTCGCTAGCATTAAGGACTAGGGGGAGGGAACGTTTCCTCCGAACACGAGTAAACAGCCTCACGAGCATGGCTGACCCCGATACGCCGTTGATCTGCTCCTTTGTCAGTCTCTCTCTCTAAGTATATCGTTCAGCCTTCGCTTGATGTCGTTGGAAAATCAGAAAGAGAAAAAAAAGCTAAAAATTACGCTTAATATTAAAGTTCTTCTAGAAAAACGGGCGAAGGGAAAGCGATGACTAAGCACAACGTCAGAGAAAACGACGGAGGCGGGCGAAAAGACGAGGATTATTGGAAGACCAACGACAAGCACCGAAGAACGAACCAGGCAGAGACGGCGGCGAGGTCGACGTCAGCAACAGCAACGAAGCAAGAAGCGCGGAGCCCCCTACGGGCCTTTTCGGCAGACGAAGAGCGACGAGATACGAGATAAGACAGGACAGCCATCCCGAGCAGCTGAACTGCCACGTCGATGACTGTTGTGCCTCTCTGTGGTTGAGTCCCCACGATGGTCGACCCGTCAGTCCCCCAGCCTGGCCCGGCGCGACTGAAGCCCAATGCCGGCCCAGACGAGTGGCTAGAGGCAGCGAAAAACTGCAAGTACTTGTCGGAACACCACATGAAGCAGTTATGTGAGCTGGTCAAGGAATACATGATGGAGGGTATGCCACCGTGCCCATCAGCAACACCCACATACATACACATGCCCACATGAAATTCCATCAAAGTTGATCGCCCAGCTAACTAGTCAGAATCCAACATTCAACCGGTGTCCACTCCGGTGACGATATGTGGTGACATACATGGCCAGTTCTACGACTTACTCGAGCTTTTCCGCGTAGCTGGTGGGATGCCCGGTGACACTCGTCCTGCCGCCCCTTCCACCCAAGCGCCGATAATAACATCCGAAGACATCGAGCCCCCGTCAACCATCACAGATCCGAAGTTGAAGCGAAGACTACGGAAGAGTTCACCGCCCAACTCTGTAATTGAGGATGATGGCGACGAAGAGACGGGCGGCCAAGCAACAGAGTCGAAAGGAGATGATGAGACCGGGGAAGAAGACAAGAGCGCTTCTCCCATCGGCAACTTCATCTTCCTAGGCGACTATGTGGATAGAGGGTATTTCAGCCTGGAAACGCTGACGTTACTGCTCTGTTTGAAAGCGCGGTATCCGAATAAAATCACTCTCGTGCGGGGGAATCATGAGTCGAGGCAGATCACGCAGGTGTACGGCTTTTATGACGAATGTGTGCAGAAATACGGCAATGCATCGGTATGGAAGGCATGTTGTCAGGTGTTTGACTTTATGACTTTGGGCGTTATCGTTGATGGCAAGGTGTTGTGTTTACACGGCGGGCTGAGCCCGGAGATTCGAACGCTGGACCAGGTGCGTATCGTGGCGAGGGCGCAGGAGATTCCGCATGAGGGTGCGTTCTGTGATCTTGTCTGGTCTGATCCAGATGAGACGGAGGATCTAACATGGGCCGTCAGTCCTCGTGGAGCTGGTAAGATTGACCTTTCCTTGACTGCTTACTTGTCGTTTTGTCCAAAGGAGAGGGGTTTGCTAACTAATGTTTCCTCCTAGGCTGGTTATTTGGTAGCCGAGTAGCCGACGAGTTCTGCGCTGTGAACGACCTTAATCTGATTGCCCGAGCTCATCAGCTTGTCAACGAAGGATACAAATACCACTTTGACAGCCAGGCCATGGTCACGGTCTGGAGTGCACCGAACTACTGCTACCGCTGCGCCAACATGGCGAGTGTATGTGAGGTGCGAGAAGACCTCAAGCCGGTCTTCAAGCTCTTTGCTGCCGTGCCCGCGGAGATGAGACATGTTCCTGCCTCCCGGCCGCAGAAAGCAGAGTACTTCCTTTAAGTGTTCTTTCGCCTTGAACTAGCTATAAACCTTTTTAACCTCTATTCGACTTCGGCCTGCCGAGTAGGCGGGGTGTTGGGCATGGGTTGGCGTTTGATCTGTTTTTCCCCTTCTGTTTCTTTTACGAGTATATGAGCAAAAACATATCATGAATCTATCTAGGGTATGTGTGTCTGTGTGTGTGCGTGGTCCGTGCTAAAGGGTTAGATGCTTGCATGCATTTGCTGCCGGAGGGGGGGACGGGTTTTACTGAGTTTATTTAATTAAATAATGGCCAAAAAGGACATTGTGCATGGGGTGAAGATGATTCATTTTTGATTCATTTCATTGCATTTTGGCTAATTCTTTTTTGAATAAAAAAACCCCAGTACCTGGTCGTATACACGGCATGACAATTTAGCATACGTCTACTTTACTCTTCCGTTTAACCGAACATGGCGTCACCAAGACGGATGCGCACGGTCTTGATCTGGGTGTAGTTGTCGAGGGCGTATTCTAGACGGAAGTTAATAATTATACTTTGGGCTAACGCAAGGGGGTGGGAAAAGTTGATAAAAACTACGTACCTCCCAACTCACGGCCAATACCACTCTCCTTGAATCCACCGAAGGGAGACTGGTAGGAGATGAGGTTGTAGCAGTTGACCCAGACGGTTCTACGAATTGTTAGCATATTTCTGCCTAGACAATAATGAGAAGAACCGAAACTTACCCGGCCTTGAGGGCGTTGGAGACACGGATGGAGGTGTTGAGGTCCTTGGTGTGGAGGGCGGCAGCGAGGCCGTAGGAAGAGTTGTTGGCAATGCGAATGGCATCCTCTTCGGTAGAGAACTTCTGGACAGTGCAGACGGGTCCGAAGATCTCCTCCTTGACGATCTTCATGTCATCGGTACATTCACTGAAGATGGTTGGCTGGATGTAGTAGCCCTCGTTTCCGTGACGCTCACCACCAACCTCGACCTTGGCACCGGCCTTCTTGCCGTCTTCGATATAGCCCATGATACGGTCGAACTGGAGCTGAGAGATCTGGGGGCCCTGGAAGGTGTCTGGCTTGAATGGGTCGCCGACCTTGTTCTGGTTGGCACGCTCCTTGAAGCGAGCAAGGAACTTGTCGTAGATGCCCTCCTGGACGAGGATACGGGAACCGGCACAGCAGCACTGGCCGTGGTTGTAGTAGATACCGAAGTTGACCCAGCTGATGGCATTGTCAATGTCGGCGTCGTTGAAGACGATGTTGGGGCTCTTTCCACCGAGCTCGAGGGTGACCTTCTTGAGGTTAGACTTGGCGGCGGCCTGGAGGATCTGGCGGCCAACGACGGTGGAGCCGGTGAAGGCAACCTTGTCGATGTCCATGTGGGAGGAGATGGCGGCACCGGCAACACGACCGAAGCCAGAGATGACGTTGACAACACCGGCGGGGAAACCAGCCTCGACGATGAGGTTGCCGACGTAGAGACCGCTGAGAGGGGTCTGCTCGGCGGTCTTCATGACGATGGAGTTACCGGTGGCCAGGGCCGGGCCGATCTTCCAGGCAAACATGAGCAAGGGGAAGTTCCAGGGGATGATCTGGCCGCAGACACCGACGGGCTCGTGGCGGGTATAGGTGAAGGTCTCGTGGTCGGTGTCGATGACTTTGCCCTCGACCTTGTCGGCCCAGCCGCCGTAGTATCTGAGGCACCCGGCAGCGTTGGTGACGTCTGCCTTGGCCATGGAGAGGGCCTTGCCGTTGTCGAGGGCCTCGATGGCGGCAATGGTCTCGATATCCCGCTCGAGCAGGTCGGCGAGCTTGGTCAGCATGCGGCCCCTATCACTGGGGGTGACCTTTCTCCAAGGACCCTCGACGGCAGCGCGGGCAGCCGCAACTGCAAGGTCGACGTCCTTCTCAGTAGCTTCATGGACGGCACAGATGACTTTTTCATTGTGAGGGTTGATGGTCTCGAAGGTCTTGCCCTCGACGCCCTTGACGAACTTGTTGTTGATGAACCTGTCCAGCTGTCAGTAAATACAAAACAAGCTCTCAAAATGACCATGACCATGAAACTTACAGGCCGAGCGGCTGCTCGAAGGTGGCGGTGGGCGTCTCGATCTTCTGTGTAAGGGCCATGGTTGCTGCTGCTGCTGCTGAAGATGACGATGAGAGTGAGATGGTTGTTAAGGTGAAGGTTGAGAAGAAGAGGAGGAAGAAGAAGGGAAAAGAAGAAGAGGGCGAGAAGAAGAGGAAGACGGAGGTGGAGGCGGAGGCAGGTAGAAAGTGGGGTCGGCGGTGTTATAAGCCCATCGTCGCTGGCTCTTGATGCCCGGGCGTCGGCCTACTTAGTGTTAACCAGGGCGAGGTATGCGCGGGAATGCTGGGCCATGCTGGGCCATGCAGCGCCGTGGAGGAGCCATGGAGGAGCCATGGAGCGGGCGTGGCAGGGTACCTCGCGGCCCAGCCAAAGCACCGCGGGCCCCGCATGTACCTTCCCATTCCCCCTCCATCGCCCGGCCATCGTCCTGCATAGCTGTGCATAGCTCTGCATGGCTCTGCATGGCCCTCCGTCGCTCTGTATGGCTGGCTTGGTACGAGAGAGAGTGAGAGAGAGAGAGAGAGAGGTCGTCTTCGCTGTCCGTCCCCCTCCTTCATGTCCTCCCTCCATGTCCCTGTCCTTCTCCCTGTCCTTCTCCTTGTCCCTCTCCTTGTCCTCCTGCCCTCCTGTCCGTGAAACCGCCTGAAACCCGGCCGATAACCAAGCAGGAGAACCTGACCAATCTCGAGCACCGGCCTGCTGGCGATGGTCAGAGAGATAGTCAGAGAGATAGTCAGAGATCCAGCTCCCGGCGGCAACGGCGCCAGCTAGCTGCTGGTTCGGCATCTCGCTCGGCGTCGCTCTCGCCGACTCGGCTTTCCTCCAGGTACTTCGCAGCCTAGCGCTGGGCGTGAGATGGGCGATATGTCAGCAGCATCTCTTAGCCGGCGATCCTGCGGCCACCCGCGGGCGTCATCATGGATCTCCCCATGGATTGCGTCTTTCATGGGTGTCTTTATTTTGAACATGGGTCTGGTCTGTCAATGGCAGTAGGTTATATGTGCGTGGCCAGAAAGAAACCCCCAAGGACGGTCCCATCAGTGTCATTCGAGCATCACAGCGATAGGGCTACGATGGCACTAAACACACTACTTATGGAGCACTGTCAGTTAGCCGAACAAGACCCATGCTTATTTACCTTTTTCTACTTGTTTGCCCTAGGTTTGAAGATGCCCTTTTCCTGTCTTACCTGTCTTTTTCATGAAGACTACAATAAATGTCAGAGGGAGTTCTTCAAGATGCCTGACAGCCTGACAGTCTGACAGGAGGCATGCTCCATATACGTACGTGTAAGTAGCTCCTGTGCGGTGCAGGCATCAGATAAGATCCCTAACTACGCTAAAGATCGAGCTCCTCGGTTGCCCCGCCATGCTGACTAAGGTGGTTAGATAAGCTGACTAATCCCCCCATCTACTCTTCTACTGCTGACCGGCGTGTTGTGCTCTTATAGCTGTAATGGCCGAAGGGAAACTGTCGCGCCCTCGTCTGCGCCCCGATCCACTTCACGTGACCACGACCTTGACGCCTGGTTCGAATCCTCGAGTCGCGACTTTTATTCCTCGGAGTAAAGGTTCTCCCGCACTCGTGCTGAGTAATCCACGAACGGCTGCGGCGCGCTAAGACATGGAAGAGACGCTTGAGGGAAGCAATTCTGCAGAGGCCTTCCACTCGGGGATGGCGGCACCAGATCACGTCGGCGTGCGGGTCGCGGGGAGGACATTTGACAGTTGACCTTTTTTTGTTCTTTTTTACCTTATCATCATATAGTTAACTACCTTCTGCTTTCTGCTTTTGTATATATATATTTGTCGCTGAGATGAATATATATATGTTGCTGCCTAGATTGAGTCGGCTTCGGGAGTAAAGATTGGTAAGCCAGAGCGGATGAAGGATGACTGGCAGGGCTGTACCCCTGGCTAGTTGAGGTCGAGACGGAACATTTCTTCGGACGAGCTGAAGGATGAACCTATCTTCAAAGCGGACGGGCTGAAGAGCTGCCCCGACACGGGCGAACTTGCTGTCCGTCTTTGGGCATAGATGGACATATCATTGAACAGGACGGAGTACAGGACAAGTATACACCATGTAGTATTGCGGGGGGCAGAGAGGTATATAAAGAAGCACCTCCTCTGCCGTAGTTAGCAGTATCATCACCATCATCAGCAGTAACAATAACATCAACAACGACATCAATATCAGTATCTTCAAAAATATACAAACGTATACCATCCGATATGCCTCAATTCACCCTCTACGCCCACCCCATCGCCACGGCACCAGACCGTGTCCAGCTCGCCATCGACGAGGCCGGCTTCACAGACTACGAGCGCATCACCGTTGACATTCCCAACAAGGAGCAGAAGGTAGGCCTGCCTACACGACACTACATTCAATCACTGGTGTAGGTATAAACTAACAGCTCGTTAGACCCCCGAATACCTCGCCCGCAATCCCTTCGGCAAGGTGCCTACCATCGTCACCTCAGATGGCATCACCATGTACGAGTCCCGCGGCATAGCCCGCTACCTCTGCAGCCGCTACAACTTCGACCTCCTACCCAACCCCAACGACAACGCTGCAGTCGCCCTCTTCGAGCAGGAACATGCCTGTGAAACCGCCTGCTTCGACACTCCCGTCTCGACCGTCCTCTTCGAGACAGCTTTCAAGCCATTGCTAGGCTTGGAGGCCGATCCTGCCTCCCTGGAAAAGAACAGAAAGGCCCTCAGCGAGTACCTTGACGTTGCCGAGTCAATCTTCTCCAAGACCGGGAAGAAGTTCTGGGCCGGTGACAAGTTCACGCTTGTCGATATTAACTATATCGTTCCGCTAGCTCGGATGTTCGAGCGCGGACAGGGTGATGTGATCACTTCCAGACCCGCTCTCAAGGCATGGTGGGAGCGTTGCAACGAGAGGCCCGCCATTAAGGCCTTCATTGCCAAGGTGCCGAATGTCGACGAGCTTATGGTCCAGTTCAAGCAGAAGGCAGAGGAAAAGCAGTAGTTTGGTTGGTTGTCTCTGGTTTCACCACTAGCATAGATAGAATAGCCGCATGCTCGTAGAATAATAGAGCGCTTCGACAGTCATATTCCTTGGATCCTGTTGTGTTGTCGTCGTGTTGTCTCTTCTCTGTCGACAAAATAAACAATGATATTTGAGTTTGCCCGTTAACTCTAAGCATGGGATTGGCCCAAGCGCTTAGCTGCCCTCTGGCGTCTCTCTGTGCGCAACGAAGTGTACCCAAAGTATCTTCTGCCCGTGAAGGAACTCTAATGTACTTTTGGATCAGGAGAGCGAGGGAGTCAAATGATCTATAATATAGGTATTTATTACTTCTTTCGGCTATTGTATAATTAGAGGTGATGACTAACTAACTATAGTTGGTAAAGTGCGGGTAACTTGTCACATGCATAGAGATTAACTGGTCGGTTCTCGACCTCAATACCATCAGATCCTCCCCTAGCAAGCTCATCTTCTTCACCAATAATAATTGATTTTTATGTACATCCATTCCTTCATGACCAATCATCGTCATTTCATTTCCATAAATCGACACCCAAGGTTGTCAGTGAGCTATTGATGGGACCTCGCCCTTTACCCATGAACTTTTGCTGCTCCCTTTTTTCGACATGCTGCTCCAAGGGTTGTCATCAACAGTGGCAAGGCGGTGCGTATCCTTATGCTCTTCAAGCCATCCCCGAATAGTGCTGAGTGTGTGACGGATATCCGCGTGGTCGTAATAATGGGAAGCAACAAACCCATAGATAAGGCCATCAACACCGACTTCCATCATCTTGTAAACATGATCCTTCCTGGTATATGATGAAACCGTCCAACCAAAAACTTTGCTGAATTCGTGTGATTCCTTGCCTTCGCGAAGTTGTGCGCAAACCCCACTGCTGTGTACTTCACAATTGCCGAAATTGAAATCTGGATTAAAAAGGCCCGAAGAGAAAACGCGCTTCTGGAGCGGGATACCCTTTTCCTCGAAATCCTTTTCAACAGTCTCGAATTTGCCGTCAATACCAATGGCCTCATTCTCGTTCATTACCTGTTTGACAAATTTGAAGGAAGGGCCGTTGGTTTGGGAGGAGTAAAACCCATACAGAACTCTCACTCCAACCTTTTCAAGTTTCTCTCGGCAGAGAATCATCAGGGAAACGATGTTCACTCCATTCTTGTTGAAGTCGGGATTCTTAAGGTCCAGCCATACAAAGCTCACTGGGTCTCCCTGAGTGCGTCGAGACGCAATTTCATCGAACAAATCCGATACCGTATCACCTGCGCTCGTGAGTAGTCCATCGTGATCGCCGAACCATCCAGACCACCACCCCGTTATGTCCATCTCGAGAGCGTTGGCTCCATGGCCCAGGGCAGCTTTAACGCCATCTTTGGTCAGCACGCGATGTGCGATGAGCCAGAATGGGGATGCTCCGTTTCCAGGCCTGCTTGTGAAGTTACTAGGGCCGGTGAAGTTACTTGGAGGTTCGCATGGTGGTATAGAGGGAGCAATGATGGGTGAACCCTGAACAAGTATGGATCCAGCAGCCAGGAGGAAGCTGCAGAGACGGAGGAGAGAGACCATGTCTCAACAGTGAGTTGAGGGCAAATAGAAATGCTCAGAGGATGTGACAATTTGACTTGACAGGTGGATGAAGACCATGGATTGTCTGGCTGGCTTTAAATATCCCTTTCACTATATTGATATAAAATGCTATATTAATGCCGCCATGCTATCTATCCCCCCAAGGCAGATCGAGTGGAATGCTTCTCATTACATCAGGCAGCCCTCAAGTGGAAATGCCGGCTACAAAGGGTCTCTACAGATATCCACAAGATCATAACTACGCCAAAAGCATGCCTACCGACCGGTTACTCTTCGGTATATCTTTTCTTGGACGTGTTTTTGTAGATCTAAGAGCAGCCAAGAATCGTGGCATATTGAATAGTTATCACAGCAAAGCAACTGAAGATTCCACCGTACTTGCGCGAGCAGCCTGACTTTAGCCGATCCATAACAAATAACACATAGCCATGGGGACCTTAGATTGTAATGAAAGTATGCTGCCAATGCCTTACTCTTGGGTGCGTGATCTGACATAGACCAGATCTGGAAATGGACAGACGATTCATAGTAAGTATCTTGGCGATCTGCGGCTTCTATGCCTATCAACGTATAGATATGCTGTGATAGATATATATATATATATAGCAACTCACGCTATGTATGGCCAGAGCTAGCGCTAAAGCCGTTGAAGCCCCATTCTTTTTTTGATCATTCCACAGAAAAGAAAAAAAGCAAAGTGTAAATACTCCGCTCTGGTGGTTAGAACCAACTAGTTATACCTTGGGGCAAGAGCCTAGAGCCACATGCTATTGAACTGTTCATAGAGGCTGTTAACTATGGATTGCTTGCGACATGTGTGATTGAAGGAAAGCGCTTAGTTAGCCGTTATGTATTTGAAGGCAATATAAAACAGTCGAGGAGTGTTCATCTTCCTCACCTTTTCTTACTCACCTCTACAGCTGCTGGCGGGGGAAGATGAAAAAAAAGCATAGCCATGATTTCTCCATGGGCGATCTCGAGGCTGGACGGAGGCTCGTCGATCCCCATCTAGTTTACCGATCCACCGATCCGAGATAACTAATTAGTTAGGTACTCCGTATGTGTAGTTATCTAACTGCTTAGACTTCCGTCCCGTCCCCGAGGACCTTGAAAAAAGTCACCCGAACACCTATGTAGGTGGACGGGTATCGCGCCCAACAAATGGTTGGGCAAATCGGAGAGGACATATTCTGATTGACAAAAGTAACTGGCTTGCCTGCATGGAAGATCTGCCGTGTTATCCGTAACTAACCAGACAGGTAGCGATCTATGAAGAGCTCTACTCAGATGCTGCTTGATAATGATGTATATTCGTATAGTTATGGCCGATATATATCCCTTTGAACCATGTAGGATAGATTGTTATTCTGTATAATCAAACACATTGCCCACCGCATCAAGCACACTGATATATGGGGTATACTTGGAATTATCTTCTTTTTATCGAACAATCAAGGGAATGTAAGAATTGATAAGATATACTATGCATACGGATCAAGATCATTTCTGTATTCCCTTTGTATAGCTAGGCGCCGTAGCTGCGTCTAGCACGCAGGTAAGTAGTATGTATGAATTAGGCAGGGGCAAACCATCACACGGGCGGGTAAACAAATAAACAACGTCTTAGTGGAAGTTGCGAGTGTCATGGGTTGCCATTTCCTAATCGGGATGAACCACCGTGCTTTCCTTACCGAGGACCACCTGACCTTGCTTTTGCCCAGGCGGAACTTGTTTTTCATTTCTTCTTCTTATCTGTACAGCTTCTACATAGAGACTTTGTTTGATCTGGGTTCGATTATATAAATAAATTGCGACATGAGGCAAGCAAATAGTTGACTGATTGTCTATCTCGCGGAATAAACCTCATCTTCTCCTTGAACTACGCCCACTACTGACAATGGGCGCTGGATCAAACGCATCTTCGTCATCATCATATTCAACTCCATCGCTCATCACGCTGACGCTGCGAGCTGCTCTTGTGGCGGCAGCTCGCGTGGGTCTCGTACTTGAGCCACTGACACTGGTGCCGCCTAGAGTTTGGCTCTGGCTGGGCTGAGACCGACCGAAGTTCAGTGTACCCTGGACTTTCTTGCTGGCCGCTGTTGTCCGTCCGGCTGGTTTGCGAGTAGACGCCGCCTTGGATCTACTGGTTGTCGTGGTTGGTGCCGCTCTCCCGCGAGATCTTGGTGCTGGCTGCTGGACGAATAGATCCTCATCGTCGTCGATGTTTTCAGGGATGTCATCCAATACCACGGGTTCATCGTCGCCTGGCATCGCTTCCAGGAAAGCTTCCTCATCATCTTCATCGTCATCGTCCAAGACATCTTTTCTAGATCCCCGGGCTGGTGGAGCGGTAGTTTTTGCTTTACCCCGTGCCCTTGTTGTAGTGGTCTTCGCCGCAGCTCGACTGGCACCTCTACCTCTACCACGAGTTGATGTTGACGCAGCAGCAGTGGATGCGCCCCGTCTTCTACTCGTAGTCGTGGCTCTGGCAGGGGCTTCTTCCTCTCCATCATCATCATCATTGTTGCGGCCATCTTCATAATCAGAATGTATCAGCGCACCAGGTTGATCCTCCCACACACCATCAAATTCCGTATCCCAGCCATCGGGTTTAGGCTTGAACCGCTTCTTCCCGCCTGTTCTCCTACCTTTGCCTTTAGCAAATAGCTCTTCAAGCTGTTCGCGATATTTATCCATGGCAGCCTGGATAATCTCCTCACGTTCATAGTCATCCTGATCGATTCCATCCTGGTCACGGTCTAGATTCATCAGATGCTTAATCTGGCTTTCCAACGAGTCATTGACAAACATCTCCATAGCATACTTGTCGTCCTTATCAACGAATTGGGATACGGCATCTCCGAACGAATTTTGAGGCAGAATTGTCAACGACTGTGCCGTAAGGAACTCTCGAACCAGCTGTTCCACCTTTATCGCATCAAGTGCCACGAGATGGGACACAGCCGATTCATCTGGTGCGTCGGATTTGCCATGTGTAAGAGCCGTACCTTTCTTCTTGCGATGAAATTGCACAACATCATTAACATTGGCAACTTTGCCAACAAACCTGTTCGAGAAACGCTGTGGGTTTTCACAATCGAAATTTCCTCCTCCAGGTCTCGATGTCTCGACTTTCAACCGTACGAGTGGTAGAGGGGGCTCAACCTCGTCGTCATCATCATCACTAGCGGCTTCTCGCTGCTGTAGCCACTCGTTCCTGGCTTCTTCAACCATCTCCTCGACAATACCCATCAAAAAGCGTGTCGTCTCAGTCCGGGTATCTTCCTTCCTAGAAAGCTTTTGCATCTCTCTTTCATCGCTCAGAACAACTTCTCTGGTAACAAATGGCCGAACGGACTTTAGTAAAATGGGCTCCGACTTAAATTCACGCCCAGTTATGCTTAGTATGGTGACATGTTTCTTTACGGCTTCACCAGGAACCAGGGACGTTGCTACTGAAGAGCCTGGCTGTATGACATGGAAATTTGTCTCCGGGTTTAATCGAGGGTGTATCAGGCATTCGTGCTCATGGCCCCAGATAACCAAGTCAAGAAAATCTGGCAAGAATGACTCCGGCAGATAACCTGTCTCAGTATGTGCATGGTGGTTCTGGTGCACGCTCATAAGATTGAACCAGTCTTCCTGCTGCATCGATGGTCGAAAGAACTTGACTTTGCCATCTCTGAACGTGCGAAATAACCTCTCATCTCGTACATTACTCATCCCAAACAGTGCTAGCTTCGTACGTCCCTTTTGCAGTAGAACAGGCTTGATTTGGATATTATCAGATTCAGGAGTGCGGCCATAGTAATTTATCAGGCCTGATACCTGCAGCAAATCGAGGGCAGCCAGGTGACCTTCACCAGATGGATCGTCGTGATTCCCATGTATGGAAAAAACGGGAATGGCCACGTTAATATCCAGATCCTCGTAGTTGACATGATTGAAAGCTCCTTGAAAATTCTCGCTGGCATCACTGAGCATCTCCAGCTCGCATGGCTTATCTCCAAGGCAATTCATGCGCAGAGACCTCATCACCTGGTACATAGACTTTCGGGACGGCTTATTCTCGTGAAACAAGTCTCCTGCAAGGAGTACCATGTCGACATCTCGTTCTTTAGCAAGGCACATCACCTCGTGAAAACTCTTCCAGCTGTCGTCGCCCCGTACGGGGTCGCGTTCATTGTACCCAACGTGGTTGTCCGTTGAGACAAGAATACGTATGGTGTCCGCGCCTAAACAAGTCAGTATGACATTGATTCCACGAGGAAATGGCATTTATACCGGTTGGGGGCATTTTTAGGTATTAATATCTGCAGCTTCGTTTTGAAGTGCCGTTAGAGGGTAACCTTTGAAGTTTTTCTCGGTATAATTATTGGGTAACTACTCCGTATGCAAGAGAGACTATAGATGCATCCACCAGGCTGCAGCAACTGGTCTGCTCCGTCACTGGATTGTAAAATGGGACAGGGGCAAAAAGCAAAGAGATGCAAAACTCAACATAAACGCGCCATAACTATGTCACCAAGCTATCTTAAGCATCCTCTACTTCTCATCTCCCGCCAGTTTGCTCGAGTGAGAATCTTGAAATTGAAGAAAGCTGCCTGCAACACAACGCGATAGTTAGTTGAGGCTCCAAACCTTGTCCCTAACCGACCCGACTAGTAATCATCACGTGCACAAGAAATGGCTCAGGGCGCTTAAATTCGTCCTATAGATAGACTAATGGGCTACCTTTGAATAATATTGATAAAACTTGCAGGTATAATATTCAATTAAGGTGCAAAATATAACCATGAATTAGGAGAAACTAGGTTAAAAAAAGATGGCCACATAGATGCTCTGTTCCGAGACTGCCATTCTTCATTATAGTCCTATGGAACAAATGGTTAAGTGTAAGGACCTAAGACGATCGATATTCTAAGACAAATACTTGTCTCCTTGATATAAGGTCCCTGGTTAAATATTCCACCTAACCAATCTCATATCAATATTCTAGTTTTAAGAATGAGTAAATATCTGAAGAAGAACACTGAAACTGATCTTCCTCAAGATGTGTAGTGTCAATGGTGGATGTGGTTGAATAGATGATGCGAATGAATACTTCTTGAGAGGGTATTCAACTGATTGCCTGGGTAATGATTTCATGCGCAAGGAAATCAGTGGTGGGGTTTGGTTGGAGGAAGCTGAGAGGATTGACATGTCCATCCCGTGCATAACTTGATGCCATAAAATTGAACGTCCTAAATCTGGGGCTCGTGTGAGCGCTTTAGCATAGCTTTTTCAAGGATCAGTCGGTTTGGCATCGCTTAATTGTCAATTAATATAAACGACTTATTCGCGATCAGAGCCTCTAGATTACTAGATGTACCGGGATCGACTTGTTCAGGAAGAAATACGGTACGCATCATCTTCTCAAATCTTCCTTTAGCCCACTTACATGGAGAATTCTGCCGATTCTAACTTGAATTGATAATAGAAATGGGCTGGGTATAACGATTGAGTTTTCGTGGAGGCGGAAGGCTACCTGGCCATTTCTGGGGAGTTAGGAGAGATCAATGTAATTGGCCTGCCTATGCACGGTATTGTAAACATATGGGTGGTCCTATTAGAGCGGTATTCGTTATTTTTGCAGTACTCATAGTTTATGGGACTTGTGTGACTAACCGTTTCCTTGAAGGCAAAATTTAGAGAGCCGAATTGGGGGTGGAGAAGTTGAAAAGGAGGAATGGCATTCGCAGGCGTGTTGATGGTATCTGGAGTTATAACTTCTCCAGGCCTGGGAAATATCTGTACCAGGATTGCCAAATAGTGGCTTTGTTTTCAACCTTGACATGTTATAGTTAGAATGTCGTGTACGGACCTGCACGTACGATTTGGCACGCACGTGCTATTCTCCTATTCGAGCGGCGTCGGAATGAGCCACAACGACGGGCGCCATTATTATACGGGAGTGAAGACGACCCAATTCCCCCCTAAGAGCAGGGCCACAGCCAAACCTGCTTGCTCTAATCTGAAATCGCATTCGGACATCCATGAAACGACGGACTAGCTCGGCCTCCTCAGTCTATTGAATTCTATCAGTATATAATACGACTTAAAATCCCAAAAATATTTCAGTCAGATAGTTCAGAATTTCGACTCACTGTATCACATGGCTTCCATAGCCTTTGCCGTAGCTTCCATAGCCTTTGTATCGATGGGCTTTACTATAACTTTTGTTGTGTGCTGATGTGTGTGCTGTTAGCTATGTTGACTAGACAACGTGTGAGCGCGAGGTCGGCTAGTCATAAGGAGTGAACTGAGCAGTTTTCATGAGGGTGAGCTTGGTCGTATTCTTGCAGCAATTGCACTCCAGTTCCGTGGAGCCATAATGAGCCTCAGCTGGTGACAGCGCCTTGGATGCGTAGAGAGCTGGTCGCTCGTCGCTTTAGCTTAGAATTTTTTTTTCTAAATTAACTCTCACTGAGTAAAAGTATCGAGCGCCTCTTTTGCCGTAGTAATAGCTGCAGTTATTCCCTTATTTTCCTTAATAAGGTCATGTAGAACCTGCTTAGGGGCTTTTAAATCCTGACTCTTAGGTCCTTTTTGCAGATATTGCATTTGCAGTAGTGGCAATCATTGGTTTTTTGATATACTCCGTACCCAGGATGCAATATCAATATTAGGAAGATACCATATCTCCAAAGTTTATCCAGTTGAAGGAGCAACGAGCAAGATAGAAATATCATGGCAGCAGAGAGAGGGGGGAAGAGAGAAAGAGAGAGAGATGGTCTCACTGACTTACCGGGCTTTCTTTTATATTCCTGCGTTGCCATCAAGTGAACTTCGGCAGTGAATAGTGAGCCGGCAGCGACTGTCGACGTTGAAGTTCGGGACGTGTTGAAAGTGAACCTTAAGTTGAAGCGCCGCCGAAACGCGTGCTCACGTGACCAGGCTTTAGTTCGTCATTTCCCGAAAGGCCGCAAAAAACTCCTTTTCGCTTTTCTGCCATCTCGCATCTTCAACCTCTCAACGTCACCACAAGGACTCGAGTCTGCCCGCAAGGAAACACAGCGCCGCATCTCCCATTGACAGCCCCCCTAACGCTCCTCGACTGATCCGGTATATCCTGGTTCAGTCTTACGCTCTCCTTTCCCCCAGATTTCCTTCCCAACTTTTATGCAACCAGAGTGCTACAGGTCTACAATCACTGCCTCAGAGAACCACTCGCGCTACAACCAACCCACTGCCCAGCATGGAAACTTCTCTCATCCGGAATGTTCTGCCAGCCGCCTCTCAGGTCGAGATGACGGCAGCAGTGGCTATACCACTAGCTCAGTGGTGTTGCCGCCTTGTACCTCCGACTCGCGACTTGATGGTGATGCAGCAGACACTGGATTAGAGGCGCAACTCCCCGCAAAACCTGTATCCTCTCCTTGTCACTCAAGCGATGATGGCGCCCTCGCGATGCACCGGAAGTTGAGCGAAGATCTCAGCCCGCAGGTCATCTCCATCGAGAGCTTTCCCAATGGTACGAAATGGCGCATCCACGTGGGGGTTTTCAGTGAGCTAGGATGTTTGCATGCTAACTTGTATGGATGTTTTGTTAGAGGTCCTGACGCATATCTTATCGCACCTCCAGCCTTCATCTCTGTCGTCGATAAGCCTTGTGAGCCGTCGGTTCCACAGCCTGGTGACCACCCCGCATGCCTGGCGGATAGCCTTCTCCCGGTACTTCCCCGGGCCTGCGCTTACCGAGAAGAATGAAGGCCGGCAAAGAGGCGATGATTGGGAGCATAATCTCCTGAAAAGGCGCGCATTTTGCAGGCTTACAGCCCTGAGCTCCTGGAGAAATGAATACATCCTACGGACCAGGCTATTACATTCAATAGCTCGTGGGAAGCCTACCAGCTACCAAATCACGGATCAGCGCAAGTCGACGCGTGCTGGCTCTACGCCCGCTGCCCACGCCGTTGTGACATACAACTCCTTGCTCCAGTTCCCTATCTCCCACATAGATGGTACGTTTGGATCCGGCATAGAGAGCAAACCACCTGCGTTTGTCCATGGAGCAAGCGAGGAAGGGATCGCTACCCAGAGTGATCCGACTTCAAAGAAAAGTGGTGCCGGAAAATGGGGCCTTTTATCCGAAAGTCGAATGTTCAATCACTTTTCAGATAGCTACCCAGGTGAAGCCCCTTGGGGTTTGGGAGCAGGAAATCTCATTGGAAATCCCAACGTGATGGATGTGAGCCAACCTCATGGTATGGTATATGGAGAGGGATGCCCGCAAGGCCGTACTTATTTTCTCTCTACAAGTGAGAAAAGAGGACGGTTTTTTCCACGTTCAGTCCTGGATCCTCATTACGAACTTGGAATTCCGTCAGTCAATGCCGCACACTTTGGGATATGCGCGACTTGGATTGCCAAATCGTCTGAAACCTTGAAGTCAACAAATGGGCTATGCGGGATGATTACTGGCACTTCGTCAGGCATCCTCACATCCTATGCGCTTGGCCCGCATCCTTCCTATGATCAACGATTTGAACGGGGCCAGATGACAGCTAGGTGGGCATTATGCCCGGGAGTGCCCATTATTGCCATCAGAGTTGACGACAAGCTATCAGCAAAACGGCTGTCGCAGCGTAGGATATGGATAACTGTTCTAAACGCCCTTGGAGAGCTTTTCTACCTCACCAGTATTCCACGTGGTCTTGATACCTACCAGAGATTGGAGCCGGAGGCGCTGGAGAAGGCAGCATGGCTCACTGGCCGCACTGTATCCTGGGAGATTGTTGAAAGCAGTCGACGCGTCCCTGTGCCTGATCCCTTCAACAAACTCTCCACAAATGCAACCTATAGCCCTCGATCATCATCAGATGAGGTGAATTTAAACCGTGATCAAATAGTGGCTGAAACAAAAGATATTGAAAGATTCCTTGCTTTCAAACCTATACATTTCCGAACGATATATGAAGGATGGGACATGAGGCGCAAACTCGAAGTAGATTTTGCTGGTGATGATGGAAAAGGTGCTGGTGAATCTCTCATGGTCGTTTGCTGTTCTGCCGATGATGATCGGGTTGCATCTGTCAAGAGATTTACACGTGTCAGGACTGGTGAAAACCCATCCCTAGACAATATAGGAAGTACTTCTCCAGCATCAGAACCTGAAGCCGAAGCCAAATCATCTCTCTTTGGCCAAGGAGAATCTAGAGAGGTTCTGTCCTCCGGAAACCGGGCGTCGTCACCAATGCGTAATGGCTTTAACTCTTTGCCAGTTACTGTCGAATGGCGGGTGTCAAATCTGACTTTTGAAGGCCCAAAATCTGCTGAAATCACTGCTTGTGCCTTAGATATGTCTACCTTTGCCCGTCTGACAAAGTTTGAAGACCCCTTGCTCGGGATGTGTGGTAATTCAGAGGTGTCCTCCCTGTGCTCCACTCCCTTTTCAGTCTTGAGCAATCCGCTGGTTTCCTCTGCGGAGATTCCCGGTCAGCGAGGCAGATACATGGCTGTTGGTACCTCACTAGGTTCCGTTTTCGTCTGGGACATCAGGGCCGCCATACCTGGGAATTCTCATATGGTGAATAATATCATGCCTATCCGCATCATTCATACAGATTCGCCCGAAATATCTAGCCTTGCATTGACGGCTCTCTATCTCGTTCATGGAGGCAACGATGGCTTAGTTCAAGCCTGGGATCATCTTGCCTCATCCACCCAACCAATCCGCACGCTTAATTCCAGGTTCTCTTCTCGCGCCCGTCGGCGGCTTGTACAGGCTACTACAGCGAACCAGAACGTTGGCCATAATTTCTTTGCTGCCGGAGCCATCTGCCTTGACCAGGACCCTACTCGGCTTAGAGGGATTGTCGCCCTTGGAACGCAGCTTCGTTATTGGGCCTACAGCTCCTCTGCTGCTGATCAATACAAGAGTAATAAACGACGAGTTCGCTACTCCCACCGCGGCAGCAACAGTTCACCAGAAACCCAGCGTTTTAGTAACTCTGGCCGAGGAGCGTTGATGGACTACATTATGAATGAGAAAGCTGAACTTGAAAGGCAAAAGATTGCAAAAGAGAAAGAGCTCGCTCACTTGAGCGGACGATTCGGTACAGACCTACTTGGTAGTGATGCTAGTGATGAAGACCTCTTGGCCTACGCCTGTCTCTTGAGTGAGGAATCATACACGAGCGATGAACGGAACAGAAGAGGGAGCGAGAGCAGCTCTAGTGGCAGTTCCTCTAGCGAGACAATTGCATCGGACGAGACATTCAGTGCCAATCCACTTACTCGACAAATATCAACACCTACTCTGGATACGGTTGACGAAGAATTGGAGCCTGGTTTAGCTGAGGCAATCCGTCGAAGTTTACAGGATACCGATGCTTCTCAGTCTTCTAAAGAAGGCAGTGTACTCACAGAAGAAGTTATCCCTGACGTTTGTTCCTATTCCTTCTCCCCTAGCCTCTCTGGGACTTCCTCGCAGGACAACGTTGATGACCTCGATCTTGCTATCCAGCTTAGTTTGGCTGAGCAGGAAGGTCAGAAAGCGCCCCAAGAGGAATTTCCCGCTCTCGGAAGTACAGCCAATACCCCGTCCAAGCGGAGAGGTAGAGGAAAGAGGGGATTCTGAATTGTTTCGGTCTGATAGCTTCCTGCTTGACCACAAAGCTGTTCTCCTTGCTTTCAACATCCATTGTTGATTATAATCGTTTTCGGATTAGATGTTTAGTTAGTTGATTGTTAAGAGCTACTCTGTTTACACACTTAATATTAATTGTGATTGCGTTCTTATATATAACTTGCTGTGCGGATGTAGTAGTGTGTATACAAGGCCTTTTCGGTGAAGAGATATATATACTCCAAAACTCCACTTACACTCTCCATTCACGCCTCCAGGTGGGAAAATCCAAGATATCTCGTAACATAGTAGAAGACAGGTCATTAAAAACAGCGTAACCGGCATAAAGGAAGTTAAAGACGAGGAATAGTGCAGCTTTGGTTCAAGCCTTATTAACTTTTGAGGGCTTCTAGTCTGCCCCTCATCTGTTCTAGGGTAGCTTCCTGGTCTTCGAACTCCTCGGGAACAGGTTCCTCTGTCTGAAGCGTTTCTTCTGGCTTGATACCGCCTGTAGCAGCCAGCCTACCCTGTAGAATCTCCTGCAGTATCTTATCGACTTCATTGTCTGCCTCTTCCTCTTCCTCTTCTAGCAACTGGTCCTCTGGCATGGCACTGTCAATGGTTTCCTCGATAATCCCGGCCTTAACTAACTCCAAGCCTGTGTTGTATCAGTTAATAGCCCATTACAGAGGAAACTATTAGGAAGGTTAAGGTAACTTACTGAGCTGCCGCATGGTGCCTGTTAGCTCTGGTAGACGAACTAAGGTATTGACATCCTTCATAATACTGGTTGACGCTCTGAGGCTTCCTTCAATCTTTCTGACTGAAAAGGCTTCATTAACCTGCATCTTCACACTCTCAAGCTGTGCTTTACTCGTCGTCAAACGAGCGCTTTGTTTTCTTATCCGGATGAGTTCCCTCGCGAATATCCGTGTCTCCTTCGCTGCCTGCTCCGCCTGTGAGGGGTTCCGCTGCGCTCTTTTAGAAGCAGCAACAATAAACTGCTTCGTTTTTATTTCAATCGCCTTTAACTGGGATATATCTCGATCGAGTTTTCGTGTGTTTGACCGTATAAGAGCGTTGCACTTCCGCATCTGATGGGAGGAAATTAGCCGCTAGAACATTAAGGTATCTGTAACAAAGTGGGTGTATTCACTTGTGCTGCCGGGTCAGGCTTGAAGAAGACAGCCTTGAGGGCTTCCATGGTCCGTAGACAGTCAAAGGGACTACAAGAGCTGGCCCTTAGGAAAGACGGCCTAGGCGGCGGATGCGGCTCTACTGGGCAGTCGGAGACTTGTAGTGTGGTCCAGGCAGAGTAGAGGGTAGTTAACACTTGGATCCATACAATCAGTATGGCCAACAGACAGTAAATAGAGAGATAGAGAGTAATGTCCGGTAGTTTGCTTTGATCTATGCAACAATATAGAGCAATCCTAACACTGCGATATTGCCTGCATCACAGAAGGCGGAGCCCAAGGCCCGGGTTGTCTTTACCACGTGATAGGAGTTACGTGATTACATAAATTCTTCAAGTAATCGCTTGGCATTTTTCCCACATGGCCCGAGCTCCACAATTGCGTTCCTTCCAGTAGTTTCTATATTCTGCTTCTTCTGGACCTCAAAATAACGTCAACTTCTTGACATCAAGGACTTCAGACGGTTTCACAGAACAACCACTCCTCGGGCCAGATATTGACAATTTTGCCAGCTTAGATACTCGTTAATACTCGGTCATGGCTAACCCAGAGAGTACGTACTATCACTCGCTTCTTGTCATGATATGAAATAGAGGGGAGAGATCTCCACCTTACCTTATTGCGCACCTTCGATAACTATTCATAACTACTGATTTGGAACTATATCATGCTAATATTGTGTTTGTACAGTCACCTGGTGGCAGCGGTCATCGGATTCTGACCCCAAGAGAAACACCATTGGGTTGCGATTTTTGGTCTCCGACCTTGGAGTCGCCCCTAAGGAGACAAAGCAACCTGGCTCAACGGATACTGCTCAGAAAGATACGGACTCGGGCACACCCTCGAAAGACTCGGGAGAGGCTGAAACAGCCCAAGCGGAGAATAAGACAGAGAAAGACGCCTCTGGTGAGAAAGTCTTTCATGGACCAGGCGGATCTAGAATTGTGGTTACTCCCACTACAATTTCATTCATGGGCTATTCAACCTTCAGCAAGACACTTTACGATGTGGAATTGAAACTAGCGGGCAAGGTTAAGCCCGATAGTGCAACGTGCAATATCCAAAAACAACTCGCGAATGTTGTCCTGGAGGTTCAGAAACAGGAACTTGATACATCGTACTGGACGACGCTGGTCGAGGCTAAAAAGCTTGGTTTCTTAAAAACAGACTTCGAGATGGTATGTGAATTGTTGTCCTGGACGAAGATCTTTTCGAATCATGGCTTTCCCGATTCTAACAAGGGTTACAGTGGCGTGATGAAGATGAACAGGAGCCTGTAAAAGAAGACTTTGGGCCAACATCGCTTGAATATGAGGATGCCTTAGGACAATTTGCTGGTATGGAGGGCATGGGCATGGGGGGCGCAGGAGGAATGGGAATCGGGGGTGATGAGCAAACTCAGACGGTACGTTCTCATACAATCCACTACTTTCCTGGATATTTGCTGATATATGACTATAGGGAGATGACGATAGTGAGATGCCTGGGCTAGAAAGTGGCGAAGGTACTGAAGAGGAGAAAGGGGATACGTCTTCTACTGACAAACCAAAGATTGAAGTCCTTCCTTAGAGGGTTGTAAGAATCTACTTCCACCCCCCGAAAGTGGTAACTTTCGATGGTGTCTGTATTCAGTTAAGGTTGTGACCGACCTTCCCATACTTAGTCAAAACAATGCCATATGTTGTAAATGTGATATTTTAAATGGGCATCAGTAGTGCTAAAAAAAAAAAAGAAAAAGAAAAAGAAACAAGAAAATGAACAGATATCCGAACTTCTCTCTTTACCACAGCTTGTATATCCATCCATTCCCTTTTGATATTTATTTTGGCATTGAATAGGAGCGTTCTTGTTGTGCTAGTGAGTATTTGGACTGTAAACAGTAAAATTTAAATTCTTCGCAATGTGGAAGCTATATAAATATACTTGTTTAGTTCTGATTTAATTTGTCAGGGCGGAAGGTATTAATGTTAACCTTCGCCTTCAACGGTGGCGGGTGGTTCTCTACTTGAAACTGCGGTATCTTCAGGTGCATCCGTCGAGCCTTGAAGTTTGGCAACCCGTTCTTGTTCAGATTTGTCTCTGAGTGCTTCCGTCTCTTTTCTCATGCTTTCCAAATTCCAAGCATCACCATCTCCCTCGTCATCATCATCACTGGATTCTGCCTCACTTTCTTGGTTTCTCCACTCTCCGCTCTCAAACATAGCACGGCCGGTAGCTTCTTTGGCTTTGCGTGCTTCGTCTTCGGCAGCTTTTTTGTCCAACCGTTCTTTCTTCCACTTTGCAAATGACTCCTCGGTGACGGGCGTTAGTTTTCCAGTAAGCTTGTGCCGTTCGGTCTCGAGGAAGTCCTCGAGGGTGAGAGTTTTCAGTGGAGATTTATCCAAAAGTGCCTTTTCAGCTGCCCGTTGTTCCTTGGTCTTTAATACGAACCTACAACAGGGTTAGGATCGAACCTAGAAATGCACAAAGTGGTAGGTGAGGAAACATACCCTGGTGGTAAACTGTGCTTATACATGCACTTGTCTCCGCCATTTGGACAAGTCCAGAACCATCCATACTTCTGATTTTCGACAGCTTCAATAAAGTACTTGCATACTTTATCCGTGGTTGTCCTCGGATTTCCGTGTTTACTCAAGACGACATCCCTCAGTTTCTGCTCATCCCAGTTATCCATCGTATCTGCTTTCTTCGGGTCTTGTTCATCTCGAGTATCTTGATAAATATTTTTCTTTTCTGCTTTGCGCTCAACCGCCAGATCATGACTGAATTTGCATTTACGGCCCTTCTCACAGTTTCCTTTCTTAAAGAAAACGCACAAAACAGTCTTCGGATCGACGCCAAATGGAACTTTTTGGACCTGTACAGGCTTGAACAGTTCTGCAACTTCACGTTTAGCCTGCTCTGCGGCGGCCTTTTCTTTTTCACGTTTTTCCTTTTCCATCGCTTTTCGTTTGGCATCCGCAGACTTGTTCGAGGCGGCCTGCGCTTCGAGCTGGGCTATTTGCTTACGGGCAGTCGATCCTTTTTTCTTGACGGCATCAGCACCCGTTAATAGTGGAGATGGAATTGAAGCTATTTGGTCAAGCTTACATTTTTCATGCCAAAGGTCTATTACAAAAGAGTCAGCCGTCTTCTCTATTTCATATTGTACCGGATCCAAAATTCAAGAAATGATATACCTTATCCTGCACCGAAGGTTTAGCCTTCTTAGGCTGGTCGCCTTTTTTGGGAGGCATTTTCTATCGAGTATATTGTATCGCGTGTATAAATTGTGGGAGATATAGGATACCGACGGGGCAAAATGAAAAAATTAAGCATAGAAAGAAGATAACTAAAAGAGTGTCCGCGTCTTTTCCCGCGCCAATAATTCCTGTTTGCTATTGCTTCGTTGACGCTTTCGTCGCCTGGGTGACCTGAAGGTGTGTTGTGAGCGAAGTTCCGAGATAGCGAGAGTTGGTGGGGAGGGAAAAAAAAGGCGCCAGTGATGAGTCAGCAGCGTGGCGCTTACGAGGGTTAAGCGCGGCCTGTCGGTTTCCAATGCGCCAGATCATCAAGTTGTAGACAGACAGACAGTCAGACAAGACGGAGTGACAAACAAGCCGGCGGCGAATGTGCTTCTATCGAATCCGGGTTCCTTCCATTAACGTTGACTGAACTCGCCACCTGGGTTTCAGATTTCTAGTCTATATTTCATCTCGACCCCCTTCGGAAAGCAAGCCTCAAATACTACAACCAGGTATCGCATATCAACACTTCTCATCGGTAATATTATCGCTGCTAACCAAGACCTTTTTTTTATGTCACAAGGCTTTTTCTCATACAATTGGAAATATGATAACTGATAATGAGCTTTATCAACTCGCCATCTTCCTTGGATCATGCGCTATGCTCCTCATCGTCGTCTACCATTTTCTAGAGGTCAATTCAAAGGCCTCATCGGATACAGACTCAACGCGTGTGTCTACTACTGCAGAATCAACAAAGCTCTCCGGGTTGACGCAAGCGGCAAGGAATATGGGGGACTCTGACACTGGGGCATCGGGGAGGAGAAGCTAGTGTTGCTTGAACACAGTTATAAACGGAGTTTATGTATTGAGATCGGCAAAAGGTACAGGGGAACAGCTGGTTCACAATGATGGAATACATGATGTTGAGATGCTGAGAGAACTATTTCATGGTTGATAGGAAGATCTCCTTAGTTGCTTTTGCACACTGTTTCGATAGATGATTTTCTATTAGTGATACACCCTATCTAAACCACCTCTGTGAGAGGAGCCATAGATAACAACTTAGACTAAGTCGTAAGACAGTCCATAATTTCCCCCTTCACTACCGAAGTTGTTCACAAAAGCGACCGCACCAAATCTAGAGCTCTCATGTGTCCAATGACAAAGTCAAGTAGACTCCCTACTCTTCTTGTCGCGCGCTGGCAAAACTTTGTAAACACTCTCGGAGGCAACGACGGTGCTTTGCCTCCGTTCGTTCATTAATATACACCCTCCTGGGCCTAATCCAGGGCCCACATTCGCCTGCTTCGCTGAGTGCGCCCTCAAAATCTGCAATGCACTGGATTTATAACTGTCATATCCATGATTCTTATTGAAGTCACGTATTGGGCGCCACGTAGTGGGCAAAATTATGGCAGGGGTAGAGCCGTTAGTCGTCGCTTTGGATACCACTACACGGCCTTGGTCATCGTAAAGGCATGAACTTGGATTGAAGCAAGGATGTCCTAAAGGGAGAGAAAAGAAAGAAAAATTCTAGTAATTAGGAAATAACAATCGGTAGATGGAACTTTCCAGTCTCACCAGAGGATACAGACTTGGGCCCGTCACCCAATTTCCAAGCTAGTGGACTCAAATGCACACTGTCCAAATGCTGCTTGAGCCCCTCGGTAGAAAAGATACGCGGTGCTGCTTCCCCAGACGCACATCCTGTCCACCTACAGATAGCCTGCTCTTTGCCAGACTGGCTATGTAGCTTTAAGACATGCTTTCGAAATATCTCAAAGTTATGCAGTTTAGCTCCACAGCCATCAAAACCGCATTCATATATTGGGTATTTATTTGACGGATATTGTGGCGTGGCTCTGGGGACAGCAACTTCAACTTTACTCGCGACTGAAGGGATAGCCTTGGGCTTATTTTTCGCTCCTGGAGGACGTCCGGGTCGTCGTCTTGTAGGAAGAGAAGATGCAAACGTTGGCTTTTGGGGTGTTGGAGCCATGGGTCTTGGAGGAGTGGAAGATGAGTCCGTGTTGACGGTGTGAGAGATTCTGAGCTGTGAAGGTCCGCGCTCCGATTGAAATCGCCTTCCAGCGCTAGTTTCATCACGTGATATAAAATCGTCACGTGAATGGGACTTCGGCTGGGATAAAAGTGGCTCAGGGGCAATTTTCGGGGGAGGAGGACCGCCAGGATCCACGAGATCCCATCGGAACGTCTCAAGGTCCGAGGTGTAATCGACGAATTGAAAATTTTCCTTCAGCTTGAGTAAGTGATAGTTGAGTGAACGTTCCGTAGGATGGCGGCCAGCCGCAATCAAGATATCTCTAGCGATTGTCCGAGGATCGTAGTATGATCGTTTCAGGGCCTTGGCTTTGTTCATGGGCTTAACAATACCATTGTAACGACGAAGGTCTTCCTTTCCAGTAGGCTGTGGTGTTGCGTCGACATGTTTAGGTTTAGCCATGCTGGTGGGTTTCTCTGGCATAGGTTGTACTGCAGGTGACGGCTCGCGAGATCTAACAAGTTGTTTCTGGACGCTTGGGACAACTTTGCGGTCTTCTGATGGGCATTGAGGTAGGATTTCGGGGGTATTACGCTGGACAGGGGTGACGTTAATTGCATCTTCCATGGTGACATCAAGCGAGGTGTTCATTGTGTCTTCAACAGCAATCTCTAGCAGGTTCGGCTGATCTAGCACTTCATCCTCAGCCTCGCTCTCGTCCTCGTCGCTAATGGCCTGAGAAAGGTCAACAATCTCAGCAAAAGTTCGTTTCCGTGCCATGGCCTCTTTAGAATTAGGAAATGGCTCCCGTGGTTGGGGTGCGGGTGAGGCTGAAATGGATGAGCGGTGTTGAGGAGCACTTTTTCTGCGCCGCTTGGATATATGGAGTAAATTAAGGGATTTCTGGCGCTGTTTTTCTCTTGATAGAGGCAGAGCCGACACCGATTTACTAGGAACACTGCCTGGTTGGAGCGCCGTCACTTCTAGGTTTTGTTGGGGTATTGCTATTTGTATTGGATCAGCAGGAGTTGAAGAAACGAAGGATGAATCTGGTAAGCTAGGCTGAGAAGTTTGCATAGCCGGCTCAGAAGTAGCCTTCGTCTCTTTGTTTGAGCTCTCGCCGAGGTCGGGAAAGGTTTTTAAAAGATGCTTTGCAAAGTGGACCTTATTTATCGTGTATCCATGACCTTCCAACATGTTGCAAAGCTGTACATAACTTGGATTCTGTTCAATTAGGCTTGATATAAAGTCAGAAGTGATTGAGTCATTTCCTGGGAATGTGGAAATATATTGACAGGCAGACTCGGCTAGCAAACGTCGCTTCTGGTCAGGCCAAAAAGAAGTCATTCGTTCTTCCTTTCCCACCTCGTCTCCTGCAGGTTGTGATTGTCCTTGAAGTGGTAGCGGAGCGTCAAGCGTAGTGCGAGGATGGCCTTCCTGGGTGAGTTGTATATCTTCAGTTGAAGATGGGGGGATATTAGGCGACTGGGGAAACTCAGCATGTCCCGTCTTGGTGAAGTTATCCAAAAGGCTCAGCCGTTGCTCTTCCACGCTCAAGGAGGCATATGGTTGAGGCACAGAGGTAGGTGCTTCAGGAGCCGGCACAGGTTGACCACTCAGATGTGCTGCACTTATCTCATTTTCCAGTCCTAGATTACTATTAGGGGCAGGACTGGACTCATTAGCAGTCAAACTAGCTTTCAATCTCCGCTTTCGGCGTAATGCTGGGAATTTCCCTAAGTCGGGTAAACCATCAATGAATCCTGGTTTAGCGACTTGCTCTGGGATAATGGTCTTAATATTTTGTGTTTGGCTAGGTCTGGTGGAGGGTAGTGCTGTTTCATGGTGTTGTTCAGCTTGTGTATTTTCAGTAGACATATTGTTGTTATTAATAATTGAGGGTGAAGCTCCTTTTTGGGCTGGTGTACTTATTAGGAACACCGCGTCACCCGTCGCACGTTTATTGCGTGCCTTTTTCTTCGGTAGATTATTGGAGCTGTGCGGAGGTGGAAGTTGCGAGGAACTAGCGATGCTAGATTCTTCAATGTAAGTTTTCGCAGACGTATTATCAACCTTGCTTGGAACCTGTGGAGCTGTTTGTCCGCTACTCTCTTGTTTACCCTAAGGAGATAAACGGTAAGCATTGCATGAGCAGAAAGGAAGTAAGGATATCGGGCTCACCATATTCGCAGCCAAGATTGATTTAAATAGGTCCGGGTCTTTCTTGCGCATTTCATCAAGCATCCTTTGCATCTGAGTAGCTGTGTCCTCTTTTCCATTGGCTTCTTCCTGTGTGGTCGAAGTGGTTTGAGGTTGAGTTGACGGCGAAATTGGGGCGGACGCAGTCCCTGGTTTCTGTTTTCGATTCGGTCTCTTCCTCGCTTTCTTTGGAGCATCATTTGAGACACCCTGAGGAGTTCCCTTTGAAGCTTCTTTCGTTATTGATGCTTCCAGCGCACTAATGACGGTAAGTTAGAATTACCAACGTTGGTGGGGGTAGTAGTTCATTGCTCACTTAGTAGCTACATTGGATACTGTTGTATTAGGTGCCACTTCTGATGGTGTAGCATTTTGAGCTGGAGGCTGAGTGGAATTTTGCTGTGTCTCCACCTGTATTCCTTCAATACCACCAGTCACGCTTGTTACATCTGGTTCAACCGATGCGTGGGCTGTGTTTGTTACTCCGGAAGTTCCAAATTGGCCGTAATATGGATTATATATGTTTGTTGGATCGACAAATCGGGGCAATGAGTTCTGAGTTGGTGACTCAGCCGTGACAGAGCTTGTGTCTGTTGGTTGTGAATAAGGCCTTTGACTCATGGCTGGAGAGGCGCGTCCGTTATCAGGTTTTGCAGTATTCATAGAGAACTCCTGGCCTGGACGACGGATCTGAGAACTGGAGCTAGTCCTGTTCGGATGCTGAAAAAGTGTAGGGGAGCGAGACGTGGCTGGTTTTGTTTGATGAACGCGGTGTTGAAGTTGTGGTGAGGGCTCTGCGCTTGAAGTGACCGAATGAGTGCTCATGTCCGAGGTATTGCTTGTCTGGTTTAAGGAGTTAGAAGTAGCTGTGCCTGCTTCTATGACTTGGCCAGGATTGGTTGTCTGGTATTGATATGTGTTTGAAGAGCTTGAAGTATTTGTTGCAGGCGAGTGACCGGTAGGGTCACCGGCTGAAGCGTTATATCGAGCTGAATTCGATACCTGATAAGAGTTTGCACTGGCAGCCGGCGCATTCTGGGTATAGTTACGCCGAGCGGCGGTGGACAGGGCGGTCATGGCTGTGGCTGCAACGGTGCGAGGGTTTTGCATATAGTCAGATTGATGTGATGGCGTGGTAGATTGATAAGACTGAGGGTTCTGAGAGGTCGTAACGGGAGGAATAGCAGCAGCTTGGCCCTGAAGGGGGCTGGAGGTATAACGAGCACCAGAATTTACCATATCCCTCCTTACGCCCATGTTCGGGTTAGATTCGCCGCCATAGTTGTCTATGACATGCGTATTGGTACCGCCCAGAGAATGTGCCTGGTTATTATATTGATGGGCAGTTGTAGTCTGATTCGTACCTGACATGCGATATGACACTTGCTGTTGATAGGTTATAGGTTGACTTGCGGTGTTGTTTGCGGGCGATAACCAGTAGCTATTCCTAACATTTTGCTGACTTGATGTCTGTTGCCTAGACACATTCTGTCCATTCCAGCTGTTATTCTGTTGTCCATAATCCTGAGATCTGTTCTCGGGAGCTGGTGCGGCCGGCTTTGGGGTTTGAGACGGCGGAGCGTACGGGGTTTGGCTCTGCTGGGCACGCGAGTTCGTGTGTTGGTATTGAGGATAGCCATATCCGTTATATGCCATATCTGACACCGTCTCTAGATATGTTCTTCAGACGACTCTTGGTTGCTCAGTTGCAGGCCCTGTGAAGACGCTGCGTTGCTGAGACTTAAGTATCAAAGGTCGCAGTGACGTATAGACACAAGTAAAACAAGTGGGTAGGAACCATGTCTCCCGATCAGACAGAAGCAGTGCTCCTATAACCTAATCCTCTGTATATCGGCGCTCCTTCGTCTGCTTTTCCTGTTTCTTATGCTTTCATCTGCGCATCTTCGCGCGCGTCGTTCTGGATGAGCTCAAAGTCATGATGAGTCAGCAAACCCTAGCTCGCGCTTAAGTAACGGGAAGCGTAGGTCAGCTGACCCACAAGTCTTCGCTCCTCCAACACCAAAAAAAAAAAATAACGTCGAACTTCAATTTTGAGGGAAGAGAAACACGCCGTCGACATCCAGCAGACCACACTTCTCCCAGGGTCAGATCGCATATCACGATGGCTAAGGTTAACACAGGTACGTGGGAATTTTTAATCCGGCTGGGCTGTTTGATGAAGCGCTGGTTACCGCGAGATTACTCTTTCTGGGACTGCGGGATGCGAGAGTTGAAATTTCTGGATGCTGACCATCGACTGTTCTTCACTTATAGCAATTGCTTGCTCCCGACGGAAGTCGCGCAAGGCGCACTTCAGCGCTCCCTCCAGCGAGCGACGAACCATCATGAGCGCCCCCTTGAGCAAGGAACTCCGTGAGAAGCACAACGTACGTTGATTTTTCAACATCATCAAATCGCACACCGCACCACTACATGCAGGACGAAAGGGAATCGCAGATAGAATATATTTGTCTAACCGGGTATAAACCACCTAGGTCCGATCGATACCAATTCGCAAGGATGACGAGGTCACCATTGTGCGGGGAACCAACAAGGGTCGTGAGGGAAAGATCACATCCGTTTACCGCCTTAAGTATGTCGTCCACGTCGAGCGAGTCAGCCGTGAGAAGTCCAACGGCCAGTCCGTCCCAATCGGCATCCATCCATCCAAGGTCGTCATCACCAAGCTCAAGCTCGATAAGGACCGTGAGAGCATCCTCGAGAGAATGGGCAAGGGACGCGCTGCCAGAGCCAAGTCCTCCTAAGCCGGTCGATTTGGGTCAGGGAAGTGGTTTATTTGGGTGTTATTAATGGATGGAAGCATGGAAAAATTTATAAACGACCAAGATAAAGACAATTTCACCATATTCGAAACCTTTCCTTATCTCTCCATCGTGGTTTGATATTGAAATGTGCCAGGACCCTCCTCTACTCCAGTCCGTGTCTTTACTGCTTGTGTCGGGCTCTTTAACCAACCTGACTTAGTTTGGGCGTCACATCTTGAATGCTTCTACTTTTTTACGTGTTCCTTGCGTGTTCAAATGGACTGGAGATATCAGGGGCCTACTCTATTTGTCTCATGAGATGAAATACCAAAAACTTACATGATTCTCTGACCTTCCCAACATAGATATGTTTCCAGCCTACGCACCTTTCTCTTCACGCCTGTTTTATCTCCTCGCCAACCTACTTCCGTGGTTGTCGAGGTAAACGACTGGCGAATATCAAAATAATTCCTCACTCTCCTCCCACAATATTGTGGGAGGTAGGTAAGTTGAATAACCCTGCCTGCAGACTTGCCTCTAGACTATACTATTCAGTGATGAAAGCGGGTTTGAAGGCAGGGGACACCTAAAAACCCACATTGCTACATTGACGACCGGAGGGCAATTTGTATATTTATTCTGTTTAAAAAAGCCTCATATTCGGCCAAGCCTGTATCTCTCGTAGTAACTATGAACGCTATACCTATATATTAAGCATTAATCAGATAAATAACATTGCATGAAAAGAAAATGCTGTTCAAAATTCCAGAAAGAATTGACTTGGAACTTTGCAGTATCAAAGAAAGAAGCAAACGCGAATACGAAACATCATTCGAAGTAAATGGAATCTGTTAGCTGTCCATTAGTTTGTCATTCCTCGTGGCGGGCTCCATGTCCAACACAGCTTCCCCATGCTGGCAGGCCACATCCCATGCCAACAAACAAGTATATCAAAAACAAGACCACGACTATCAGCAAGACCATAACCTTGGTATTCTTCCACCACATCCGGCGCCGTAGATCCCGGCTACGTACTCTGAAATCACGAGCACTGCTTCCGAGCCTATCAGTCTTATCAATCAGGGTATCAATACGCTCTCCCCTCTCTAGAACGCGCTCAATATTCTCGGTCATGATATCTCGAACGTTATCGATCTCTCTCCTGGCCGAAGCTAGTGAATCAGATGGGGGAGTTGTGTTGAAAGTGTGTAGCAAGCCACGTAAGTCATTGTTAAAGGCAGCACATCCGTAAGCTGGCAAAGCAGCGTAATCCGTGCTGTCTGGATTATAGCTCGCAAGGAACTTCCTCTTCATCTCGAGTAAAAACGCGAAGGGAATGCGACGGCCCTGTTCGGCCGTGGCAACGACCAAGTAGCTCAAAGCCGAGTGGGAGTCTGGTGTCTGACTGTTCCCCTGTGCAGAGGACGCACTGGGAGAATCAGCAATATAGTGGATAAATAGCCGGTCATGGGTGTATGTGAGCTTCTGAGGCGAATCGTGTGATATCTTGGGCAGAATTATGGATGCTAGTGAAGAAGCTGAGGTGGACGACGTTCCAGGCACCGAGTGCTCTGTCAGGATAGTTGTCCTATGCGCTATACAGGCACTTATATATGGATTAGCCACAGCTTCATAAGAAGACAGTTAACGAGCCATATACACATAGATATACTTACTATAGAAGCGGGCTGGACGCTCTTGATGAGGACGCCATGATTAACGCGCTGTCTGTAAATCCAGACTGCAGACTCTGAGAGAAAGAGGAAAGGAGAAGATAGAAAGTGAAAAAGTGATCAAGAGGCCCCTGCAAAAGGATATGTGAAAGCTCTAATGGACTTTCTTGACTGGTGTCTGCCTGCTAGCCTGGCCTAAGATTGATCCCTGTGGTGCAACTGTAAAGCTGGAGAAAGCAAGTCGCAATCCAAGCATAACAAGATACGCAGGTTTGTCTAGTTTGCATGGCTTGGCCCAAGCTTCCTGCAACTACCATGGCTTGGCACTATCAGAAAGTGACTTCGCTGATACGGACTGCCTGGGACGACGGACGACGGACGACGGGGCAACAATTAACATAGAATATCAATTTAGGCCAATTTACAGCTATACCTCGATGATATAAGTATCTACATTAGAAAGACCTCAATCTAGACTCTGACGAGGACTCCGATTCCTCCTCACTAAGGGGCTCATCTTTCGGCTCAAATCCACCCTGCAGCTTCTTTTCGCCGCCCCTACGAGATTCCTCCCTAGTAGGCGTATCTACACCTTGTTTCGGGCTGCTAGTAGCTGTGGTATTCTGCCTTCGAGATGCAACCGGGCGAACCCTTTCCTTTCTCCCAGGAACATGGCGGAGATCCTTCACTTCGTTCAAGACATCCCTGAAACTCTCCTCGAGAGTCTTCATCCGTGCGAGAACAAGCCGGCTAAGCATGTCTCTGTTGTCGTTTCCTCTATCCTGTTGCATCCCTCCCATGGCATATGCCATTTGAGTGTTGAAGCTTCCGGGTACACCGCCCACGAAGCCTCCACCAACAGCCTCATTGTCTCCTATATCAGATCCTAGGCCCAGTGTTAGGGATAACGGTCGACGCCGTTGACTAGGCAGATTATTTAGCGACCACTGTATACCATGATCTGGGACAGAAAATGCTGCGGCTGTCGGCTGTGGGATTGGCCGTGGTCGCGTTGTCAGCTGTGAAGATTTCAGGTTGCTCTGTAGGCGTCGTCGATTTGGGGTTGTCGTTCCAGTCTTGCCTTTCTGTTTAGGCGATGGAGGTTTGGAGCCAGTCGTGCTCTTGGTAGCTTCCGGGGGAACCGGGTTATATAGTATAGTAGCGGCCGACGGATTCCTTGAATGATGACGACGCGGTGTTCGCGGAGTACGTGAAGGGCTATTTCTTCGTGAGAAGCGTTTGGCCGTCGAGGGCCTTGAAAGCATCGGAGATGAGTCTACCGAGCTCTCAAGCATGTTTTCAGTAGGGAAAACAGTCTCTTGGGTTTTCCTATGATCAGGCAAATCTCCATCTCTACTAGAGTCACCTCCCCCATTTTCATCGCTGCTCAGTTCATCGTCACCTTGAACCTCAACGTCAGTTTGTGTGGGCGCAGTAATAGTTTCCTCCCTTTGGAGGTAAACCCGAGGTCTGGGTCCCTTGTTTACTTCTGTAGTGTCAAATGCAACACTCATGAAGTCTTCTGGATCCGAGGCAAAAGACCTAGTAGTATCTGTGAAAAAGTTATGACCGCTCATTCCTCGATTTCTTCGTCGTCGTTGTGACTGACCCGGCCAGACGCGCCTTGCCTCCAAGTCTTCCACTACCTTTCGGTCCTGGTCTTCAGGTGGCGCTCTAGAGCTTCCGTCTCCAATATTCCTCATCCAATTACTGACGTTGGCAGTGGACAAGCGCTGGCGGGCTCTACTACGCCGGGGTTCTTGGTAAGTAGTACCTTCACCAGATAGATCAAAGACCTGGTCCAGAGCCCGATCCTTTTGATGAGTAGCAACCGATGGTTCTCGTACACGGAACCTGGCGCGTGGTGTGAAAGGCGAAAAGGAGCGCTCTTGGTCCCCAATTGGGTCAACGGGATTGAATCTGCCCCTGATCAGGTCCGTAGGCTCAATGGCAGCAGGCCTTAGTATCGTGCGCTCATACAGGTATATGCAAAAGAGAATGGGAAAGTGTGTTATCTTGATCACAGTACGGTTAAGCTTCAAAAATCTTCGGAACGGGATAACGAATCTCAAAGGAGTAATTGCCCAAGCGAGAACGTTGGTAGGCGCCACATAAGAAAAAAGAGCATCCGATTTCACCATAGATATAGTATTAACGGCAAATAAAAACTGATGCTCCTCGTGGGCATTCTGGACAATCGCCATGAACGAGTTTGTGA